TAATAATTTCCTGTGTTATATTTTATGTATTTATTTTAGGGTTCACAGGAATTAAAAGCATATAAATACAATGAAGAGAAGGCCATGTCCTGGTTAGAGGATAGAGTTCGCAAAGTTTCGAAAGTATTGAGGCAGAAAAATATCCATGTTACACCTGGAGCTACTTCTGCTACTTTTGTGACCAGCAGTATCAGTAATGATAATGTTGATGAAGGTATGAAACAGAAAAAGTATATATTTTCAGATAATTATTCTGTTTTAGGTTTAATACAATTGCAAGATCAAAGTCATTTGTTGTAGCTTATTAGAAATGTGTATCAGTATACACAATATATAGCAGACTTAATATTGTTTAACTCGTCTAGTACCGTCATTATAGACACAATTATAGAACAATAGGTTGCGGTCACCGGTGACCGCTTGGTGTTTGACAGTTTAAGTTATATGTTGTTAAAGTAATAAACTCATGATTAACATTTACTCAAGTATGTTTATGACTATAATCAGGATTGTTGTTATTGTTACTGTTGATTGGAGAGGAGGAGCCATTGCTCCGACTCCCTTTTGTTATTCAGCACTTTCGCTCTCTTCAGTCGTCAAAATTGTATAAACAAAGTTAATTAACCTGTTGGTAGTTGTAGGTACTGGTCGCAGAATAAACCCAAAAAAAGTGTATGTTTACTGCAATAGGCCGCTGTATACCCATGGACTTATAAATACCCTTTATTTATTACAGAATTCTTCTTAAAATATGCCTTTGAATTAATATCTGGGTATCTGCAAGAAGATATAGTACAAAAATTAGAAAAAATATTCAACTTCAAGCCGGACTTGATTGAAACAATTGGTAACAAACGCAAGTCAGAGGTGGATAGTAATGGAATAAATAAGAAAATGAAACTTGAAGATGGGGATGATAAGTCTAATATAAAAATGGAAGTTACTCCTGACAAGAACATGAATGTAGTTAAAAAAGAAAAGTCACTGACAGCCAAAGAAAAGGCAATGCAAAAAGCAGCTAGTGGCTCAAAGACAATATCATCATTTTTCAAAAAGAAATAAATCAATCAATTTGATAACTGGCACCAATTAATATGTACTATTTTACATAACAATTACCGTGAAATATACTAAATAAGGCTATATGGCTTACTTACTTGATTGGTCAATTGTTGCTCGACATTGATCGATCGCCGCTCATGCATCTAATGCTTATGAGCCCAGACGTGGCTTCAAACTATTCAAGCACCCCTGAACAGTTATGTGAGCAAGCCATGTAATCTGAAATGAATAAATACTTGGTCAATACTTTATTATTTATGTAAATATGTAAATGTATTCAGATGTGTCTTGTTTTTTATATCAATTCAATACTACAATAAAAGACTGCAAATGCTTTGTTCACCATGTTTTTTGTTTAGTTAAATTCATACCCGCAGTATGTATATTCGTACCATATATCATCAATAGATTATATTAGCCCCTATTACATGGAACTCATAACATAAATAGTGAAATCTTGGTGTTACATTTTGCAGTGGCATAATGTGCACCTGCCTACTCCTTCAGAGATACAATGCGTGATGTTATGAGATTATAATAGTTCATACAAAAAAAAAAATCCTGGAGTCGGAAAGTATTAACGCTAAAGTGATTGTGATAATCAAACTTCACGCAACGACAAACAGGTGAGGACAGGAGGTGTATGAAATCGCAACGCAGGTTGATTAAAAAGGATCTTTACCTACCACCTGGCGACATTTGGCCCATTTCTAATATAAGAAAATAGTAAAACTACATAAGTCAATGTTACTAAATAAAAAACCTAAAATGCTTAAAATGAGCCGCACAGACAGATTGTCGAATGCACCTGCCGCTTGCGCGTGAAGCGAAGGGTGATATACAACCCGCCATAAAATTTTTGAATAGGTGTAGAAACAAAAATGTCAGCTGATTAGTGAATCATGCTCGTGAGTCATTTAGGTATCAAAGAAAGCAATTCCAAGAACAGTTGAACTATGACTTCATTTAAATAAGGTAAATTGATTTTTAAAATGGGTGAAATTTACCCCCAACTATAAATTAGTCATCAAGTTTTAATGAGTACTACTTGCTGATTGATTTGATGCGAGTGTAATAATATTTTATCGGTAATTTCCAAGAAAAGGCATTGGCAACACTGCTTTGGTCGCCATTAACAAACGTCCATCCGTTTCGGACTTTCAGCGGATTTTTGTACAACACGGACATTTAGAAATAATTAAGTGAATCTCGGACACTCCGGACCTTGTGTAGTGAAACTGATGTGATTAATTTTGATATTGTCGTGTCTAAAGACTTCTATAAGTGCTCTATATTCTCAAAATCGCGGCCAATGTCAGCAGGCGTGTCAGATCAGGTATTTCGCATTTACGATATCTCTCTTCAATAATTACACGTTAAAATGTTGTATTGCAAAGCTAACATTGTTGTTTTGTTCCTTGTTTCATGATTGTGGCGATCGTAGCGGATGAAAGGGCAAGGGAACCAAGGTAAAGATGGAATCGTTGTGACGTTGCAAAGTGTTTTCTCCATAGGTGGAACAGCGTACCGGTCGGCTTCGCCTTCGGTTCTTGCTGTTGCGATGCTGCGATTAGCGTCGTAATCTTTTTAGCTTTCACTTTTATTATTTCATTCGTGATTTTATATCTTGGTAAACGTAATTAACAATAATACAGTGAAAAGTGGTATTGTAACTGTAAATTCTGAATGTTGTCAGATGCTTGGTAATTTTAGGTGAACAAAATGTAATGATTATGTTGTACACCTGAGAGGATGTAGGTGGGTGGCCCACCCAATCAGCCCACAGACATCTATCAAAAATAACTTGGAAATCTTTACCACCCACACATAATCAATGACTCTGTCTGTAACAATCTTGTTTATTATGTGGGAGAAGAAGTATCAGACATGTATTATTTTGTAGACAGTAAGTTTTTTAATTTATTATTATTGTTCTGGCTTATTAGACATAAAATTCCAGTCTGTTTCATGTTATTTGAGTTATTCAGTGTGTATTTGACTCATACAGTTCTGTGCTTCATCATTTGAGTTATGGGTGTATTTTACATTGATTATTGTTTTCCTAATCAAGCAATCTGGCAACAATTTGGTGTGTTAAGCTAAACATTTGTTTTCTTTTAGTGATTTAAACATCCTGTGATATATTTTGACACTAAACATGTAGATGGAACCACCCTTTGAAGTGATACTTGAAACAAGTACAATATCCACCCTAAATATGGACCTGTACTGCCTAATCAGATAATAATCAGAATGTCCTGACAGACAAAGACACTTCTCATATAAAAATCTTTGGCATTCATTGTTTATTATCAATACTACAAAATTATGAATAAAGCTTATTATTATACAACACAAATATGTGAAATATTATTGTGGACTTTGTCTAACATACACACATCAATTATGTTGCCAGTAATTATAAGTGGAAGTGAATGCTAAATAGTGCATAATTATAAAGAATCATGTTCATACATATTATTTAAAAACAAAGACATGTTTTATATATAATAATAATATGTAGTTTGCCACGACATAGATCCAAGTGAGATACAATGTATTTTCTGTAATATCTCATACAGATGCAACGGCATTCAAGCAATTAATGAATGATTTATCCATTGAAAGATTGGCCTACAGATTATTGCTTTCAGTGATAAGAACTTCCTTTGTTATACTCTAACACAGGTTTTCAATTTTCTTTCTGTAAAACGTAGTCTTCATCTAGCTAATAAGTTGCCACTGCTTAGCGAAGGCCTGTGCACATAGTAGGCACCATACTTTATTTTATTCCATGGAATCAAATAGACTCAATGACTTTCATAGTTTAGAGCAAATACTTCTTTTATAACGACAAATTGACTTGCATTGCGGTGCCGCTATAAATAATCATTGTAGACAATTGATTACTTCAATTGTAATTAATAAAGTGTGTATAAAACTGAGCATTAGCACTGGACGAGAATAAAAAAATGACATGTAGCACATTTTTTACAAGTGTCATTAAGCGGTAGAGTGACAAACAGTCACTAAATATTTTTAAAGTGATTATATTGACTGCAAGCATCTTCAAGACATGCTTTTATGCTCCAGATTATTTTTGAAGTGGTAGACATCAATCGCTCACTATGTACAATTTACATTCAGTTGAATTTGGTTAAGACTCGGGGCTGGCTCCTACAACTAGCTCGGAAAAGGCCAGTAGAAAGATTGTTGAAAGTTTTAAATGTTTACTTGTCTTATGTTTTCATGTAATTGAAACATCAATTGTGTAATATGTAGAATTTTATCCCTACATGTTTTTATTCACTCTACGATATAAAGGTACCTAAATTTGATACAGTAAAGTGAAACCATATGTGTTGTGTGGTAAATAATTCAAATAATACTATTGAGTTTTTAGGTAAAATTCAACTTATGGTACATATTTACAGAGACTATTATTGCTTGTATACTTAAAATAACTTTTCTAGATGACTCAGTCACAATTTCTAAACAAATCAGTTTGTGCTTCTACATACAATTTGTTATGGTTATAGAACATTTAAACAATGTTTATGTATGGTTTTGTATTGTGTAGTATAAAAGTATCATGTTCAATCTTATGTACAAGAAAACATCTATTCATTAGAATTTAAAGTATACAAGAATCTATTAAACTGTCAAACACCAAGCGGTCACCGGTGACCGCAACCTATTGTTCTATAATTGTGTCTACAAAACCGGTACTCGACAAGTTAATATCTATTACATTAATGGTAAAATAAATAATGTTCATAGATATTAGATATCATTACATGTTTTAAAAATTATCTTTTTCTTTCTAATGGTTTGTTTGGCAAGATCAATTAAAATTATAATGATAAGGGAGCAGGGCCTTCGAAACAAGCAAGCACTTAAAATATACTTAGAACATTATTACTCAATTATAAGGTTTAATGTGCATATAAATTCCTAGCATTTGCCTATTGTTTTTATAATGGCACAGATCTTTATAAGTTTTATGAGTTGTCGTGTGACTCTTAAGGAAATATTAACAAGATTCAAAATACTGCTATTCAACTCGGAGAGTTAGGAAATCTTAAATATTGAAATTAACTTTTAAGTATAAGTAAGTACAATACATAATCAAAAAGAGAGTAGTATGTGCTCCAGATTTGTATAAAATCATCCTCTTGTCTTCTAATTTGAAAGATGAATTACTGATATTGTTCTAATTGTGGTTTATAGTGACAAATGCACCGAAAGAGCAACATTTAGAAAGCGGCGGCGACGAGTTGGCAGAGGTGTCATGGCGCCACCAGCAACAACCATCGTATGCGCCACCCATCTCGTCTGCGGCCGACCCCTACAGCGTGGCAGGTAGGTACATATGTTTCAACATTCTCTACCGACCCAGCACCATAGTACGTAGCTAAACACTCCGAGATATCAGTTCTGCGAAGTATTGCACACGCAAACCTATATTAGTCACGTCCCAAGCAAACTTCAAATATCAGTAAAGTCCCTGGAATGTTCTAGAATTATATTATCGTTGCTCATGTATCCTATGTCTAGTGAAGCTCCTTGAATCCCACAATTCTATTTTATCTACAATCGATTCCCTGTGCTAATATTGGAATAAGGTCAAGTCCACAATTAGTTGAACTTTGACCTATAGAGCATCGATGCATCGATCTCAAAGCCTTCACTGTGTTCACGTATATGTTATCAACTGCAGACGAAATGTTTTAGTCTGTGATGTAAATATTTTTATTCATCAGATAACAAAATGCGGGACGTCATTAACAAATTGTGCTAATATGTTGAGGCTTATTGTCGTAGAGTGAAATAGATTTGTAAAGAAACATCTTTTGTATCTTGTTGCTTTCAAATTAGTTGATTTATAACTTGAAAGTGGGAAATTTGTTTAGACACAAATATTTTTCCTTATTGCAGGTTATTACGGTACAACAGCACTTCCTTATCAAGCTTTTGGAGTCGGGGATGGGACATGGTCCACCAATGGAACAGACCCGATGACATTCGGAGGATACAATCCTCACGATTCTTATGGAATGGATGGTAGCTAGTATTCATTCAGTAACAAGAGAAAAGATGTCACTATTTTCATCACTTTACTTACATAAGAAAACGACAATACCTCGATCAACACCTTGCTTCTGTTATACCGCATCCATCTTTGTGTCAAACATCTACCTTCTTCATCCAAATTACCATTTACTTACCATACGTTTTATAATAGCTTATTAATTATTGTCTTTGACCTAAATAGTCCCAGCAAGACGTGTTTTTAATTGTGATTATAATAATTGCAGGTGTGTTTGGACCCTCAACGACACCATTTTCGACAGCTGCATTCGGACAACCAGCGTCGACGTTTAATTATTTCCACGGTAATGGCGACTATTCCACCTGGGGACAACTTGGTCGCGCCAAGCAGCAGTATGACGACTACTACAGGGCCGACGGGCTATATGTGCCCGACGGAATCAAAGCTGTCGAGACGGGGGTGCAGTCACTCTCGCTCGGAGACCATAAGTCGGAGAAGGACCGCCCTCCGGAACTCAAGGACGTGTCGGGTGGCTCGCAACCCAAAAAGATGACATGGGCATCTATTGCGAGCCAACCCGCCAAACCTGCGCCCTCCTCGCAGGGCGGAGCTGTGAAAAAGAAGGGCCCTGGCATGCCTCCACCACCAATAATTCCCGGAAAACACAATATGGATATCAGTACATGGGACGCCGGCAAGAGCGCGCCTGTAGTGACGGCACCGCCCCCGCCGCCGATGCAGTCGCCGCCAGTACCCGCGCCACTGCCCATGCCTACGCCGGCGCCGGCTGCCGCGCCTGCACCCTCGGGGCTGCAGCAGCGCGGGC